AAGAAGATCAATTCCAGATAACATTTTTACGATTGTTTATGAAGTTCATTAACCATTTATATAACCATATGACTGGAACAGTTTCACTAAAAATTCGTGTACGTTCATCCTTTGTGAGAGGATAAATAGTAAGGAATTGTCAAAAACAGATGGCGTGATAGATGAAAATTTGGAAAGTGTATCATTTTTCAATTCGAGGTTTTACAAACATAAACATTCAACTATAAACGTATGAACTACATTGTTTCGAGCAATATAATGATCCATTAATACATATTTAAAAAATTTGTATATTAATATTTATTGTATTTTGAAATTTAGTCATAATATTCTTGAGTGCTTTTGTTCGAGTAGAATGTAATTGGGCAAATGAAGTTATTTTTCTTGAAAATTGTTGCATATATGGCCAATTATATATAGAAAACAAATAAATATACCTAATTATACATATACATTACATACAAATGTATAAGGCTTGTTAAGTTGGTGTTGACTATAGAAAATATTACTAATCAGAACCATTTGTTGAGTTACAAACACAAGTATTGAATTTGATTCAACTCAGTGGATGCGTTCATTTCAATTATTCTACGATAAACAGCAATTATCACATGTTTGTGGAACAAATTGAAGAGTAACGACGATCAAAGTTTCAACTACATAAACTGAGTAGGTACATAATCGTAGTTGCAATATAAGCGTTTTCATTTTATTTTAAGCAATAACATCAGGTATGGCTCATTTCATTTCAGATTATCAAATTTCAGAATAATTAAAACATTAGCATTAAGCTACGAGAAGGATTTCTAGATAAAATGAAAAGTCCATTAACAATCATGATTTCTACTGAAAAAAGTTTTTTATATATATATATGTATATATACTAACTGACCCGGCCAACTTTTTACGCCCATTTATTTTTCTCTGAAGCCGGAAAGACATGTTCTACTATTTGTGCTACACTATCTTGTTTTTAATATTTATACCGTGTGGAGCCAGGGACGTACTCACTTACGAAGGGGCTGCAATACTTCCTGCTATTTCAAATCAGTCCAATAATGAAAAATTTCTTTATCAATACGTTTGATGTATTGAAAGTGATTAACCTGTACGTTCTGTAGTTGAACGTCATGTTCCTAATTTCGTAGCAAGTACTTGTCCCATATATCTCATCATTAATTATATGAGATATTTGCTGGATATAAGTCAAAATATGTTCAGGGTTTAGTCCATTCCCGAAAACCAATGAATATAGTGGCTCTGGTGGCTGTACCAATAGCGTTTGAATTTGAGTTGACTCTTCGCGCAATATTTTGTCGCATGATTGGTAGTATTTTCTTATCAATAACAATCAAACTTTGCCTTGCAATATTAACATACAACGTTCATTGGTCCAATAGCAACGATTTGTTGTGAACTGTAATCTATTTCAACGTTTTAATTGAAGGCAGGTCGATAGGAGTTAAACGCAACCTTTTCATATTGTTAATTTTGATTCCATCGATTCCGTTCAACTTCATTCCGAGTTTCGCGTTTCTCGTCAGTTTGACTTGCTCTTTTATATCGTTGACTTGCTGCATTTCGAGTTCTGCGACTTAAGTTTGTACATCTAATAGCTAGCATCTTTAAAAACAAAATTTCAACCATAAATGTAAGAACTATGTATTCTTCTTTATAATCAAATATACCACGTGCTCTGTTATTAACGTGTATGTAAATCTATTCAAACTTAACAAAATTTTATATTAAATTGAAGTTTTAATATTAGTCGTGATAGCTCTGGCCGGTCTCCGTAGCTTAGTCGGTAAACACAATATAATGACTAACGTATAAAAACATGTGTAATAGATTCTATGGTGATTGTTGGTATCTATGGTGAGGTATCTCTTGGGTTCGAGCCCCGCTGAAGGCATGGGCGTTTATGTTTGTCTGTGATTTAAGTATTTTAATGAATGATATATGCTGGGTAAGGTACATTAATTACCGTTAAACTGAATTAAACTAACCGTGATGTGTGATAAGACATTCAGTGTTTTTACATCCTTGGACATGGTTTTTCTTAAAATATGAAATTTTACTCTCGAATTCTCATCGATATTCGCGATTATTTTTCATAATAAATAGAAATAAATAGACTGAATGACAAAATGAAGAGCGATGAATGTCATCATCGATAGTTAATTTGACTGCAAGTTCAAAAAGGTTCATTACTCAAAGAAAAGATCAATACCAAGACCCACTTTTTCATATTGCATTGGAGCCGCAACTACTTTCATTTTTATAAACTAATCAACTCGTGAAACTCGTTTCAAAGCCTTCTATCTCTTGAATAGTAAATTTTTTAATGTTCACTGATTGATGTTAATCCATTTTAATATTAAAATGTTGGAGAAAACACTGTTTCCTAGATTTACTCTCGTTTATCAAACAATGGATTGCCCAAGTCTGAAGGTCACTGCAATTAATAATGCGCTTATATTGACTCTAAACAAATAAGTTTATAAGTGTAAAGTCCCATAAAATTACTTCAATTAATGTATCTTGATTTTTGTCGATAGAACAAGAATTTCAGTTTGTGTATTTTGTTTATGGATCGTGCCTCTTGAGCAAATCATATCCATTTTTACCCAAGTGACTTGATAATTAAATAATTGGACCTCAAACCATAAATTAATTCCTAAACACAGGTTGCAAAACAAAATATATGGAGGAGAAGTCTTATTGTATTTCCAAACATGAGCAAACACTGAATAAAATATTTCTTAGGGAACTTTACCTTCATAAACTTTTCTTGCTTAGAGCCAATTAACGGCTACACCCCTTTCTGTGACCTCAAGATTTAAACAGTCCATTGTGACGTACGTTTCAACATTTCGATGGCTTCTTTGGACTGACGTCAGTCCGGAGAGTTCGATGATTGAAAAATAATTCCATGTTATCTTTCCTTGTACATAAACGTATATAAAACAAAATTCGCTATATAAAAAAGGATTTAAATGAACAGAATATGATACCGAATACTGTTTCACTTTATTCATATGAAAAAATCCAAACAAATTAGGAACTCAATACAAACAATGGCATCGTATTCGCCAGATTTGTCGTTTACCACAATCGGTCAAGTGCCGTCGCCAACCGGTCTGGACGTGCCTCCAAATTCACGTCACCCCACGGGATCATATTCCAGGAAATCGACACTCAATGACGAATCATTATCTACGTACGTGATCATGATTTAAATCTGCAAACCTACGAATCTATATACCGATTCTTGAAATGTCATTCAACTAAAGTGAACCATTCGCAAGGTCAAATTGGTCTATATATACGCTCGTTTTATACCAGATAACTTGTAATTGCCAAGGTCAGTCTAGGTGTGGTGAAATTATAAAATTATAATGTAATCACTGTCGTTTCTGAATGCCTAACTAGTTCAGGACGACGAATTAGTTCCATCGGACCGAGTCGCCGAGTGTTGCCAGGATGTTATGCTTAAACTTAAGCTCAAGGATACGCGGATTATAAATACGGTATTCTGGAATTATTTTGTCGAAGAGAATCGGAAGAGGTAGCTTGATGCATCTGTTGTACGTGTTTAAAGATTTCAATTTGGGATATCTGTCTCAGGTAAAAGAAGTGAAAAAACAAATTTGAATATTTTTAATCGAAAAATGATAAATAATACTATTAATACCTATATTTCCATGACACAGTGATATAGAAAATGTCAAATGCACATACATTCAAAATATAGGTATGATATTTAATATAGATATTTATAATAAAGAAAACTAGATAAAATATTGAAGAGATTCTTCTTGAACCTATTTACTCCTTCATATATCTATATCTCTTCAATCTACTTATTCAATATTTCTATACCCAAATATAATGGGACTTTTGTCATATAGCGCCATCTTATGAGGGGGAAAGTTAAAAGTCCTCTATTTCGAGTATTATAGCTATGAAAATCCTCCATGGTAGCATATACACCAACCAAATCTAACTTTTACATACATAAGTACCTCCAAGATATACAGGCTGAGCAAAGTCCAAAGCACGTTCAATTATTTGAATAGACTTTGCAACAGTGTCGAGAGAAAAAAGGAAAAATGTTGCGTATCGCTCTTTTTTTAATTGAAAATACCCTCTTCATGTGGTATGGGGACAATCCTCAGAAAAACTGACCACATTTAATTTTTGAGGTCATATATATGGACCACACATATAATATCAAGTTTCAATTCAAACATCAATGTTTTGCTACATTCTTAGAATTTAGCAGTTATCTATCGAAACAGTCTTCCTAAATGAAAACTCGTAACTATTTTTCTTTGACGATAACGATGACAAACGGTTGAAAATGGGCAAGAATTGTCTTTTTTATGTTTTTGGCGTGGATATTTATGATAGTATCAAGAAAAACCTTTCTGAATGCTTGTTAGATGTTATAGAAAAAAAAGGATCGTCTAAAACTAGGTATCAAAGAAATGTAGAGAAAATTAATACTTAGCTAAATAACTCAAAATTCTCAAAGACTTTTCAACGCATGATTAAAAGTTTAATACAGCTCTTGTTAATGTTATTTCAAACTCTTAATCATGAGTTGATAGTCCAAAACATATGTCGATTGTTCAAACAATTGCATGTTCCACCAAGTGCTATTGAAGTATTTGAACAAGCTATCATGGAAATTTTATATTTCTATCAACTTATTATTTCATTTTACAGTTAGATTGTCATTAATTCGAAGTAGTGTATTAATTTTTCATTGCTGTTTTCATGTTTCATTCTGATTATAATACACAAAGGTCTGAAATTTCAAATATGAAACTTTCAAATAATTGAGATTTCATTTATATTAGTGAATTAAATATTTCTTTTTAATTAAGTGGACCTACAGTTTAACGCCGTTTTCGAACGGCAATGGGGCTGTAATCAATGTACATTGCCCTGCATATATCATTATTTAAACAACTTCAGACAAACACAATTAACCATGTCTTCCGTGGGGCTCGAACCCGAGTTCTACCGCACCATATTCAGGTGTTTTCCCAACTAAACCACGAAGACCGGCAATTAAATATTTTTAATGAAAGAATCAAAATTTTTTCTCATAATTTTAATACAAATACGCATGACGACGTTTCGAAGTACTACTTCTTTATCAAATGCTGGAATAATACCTTACTTTGAGTATCAATCCAGCATTTGATAAAGAAGTAGTACTTCGAAACGTCGTCATGCGTATTTGTATTAAAATTATGAGAAAATTTTAAATATTGTTTCATTATGGATATTATTTTTCTCCATGGATATTAATTTTCGGCCTCATCAATCATCTATTAAATATTTTGTTGATAAGTTTCCTATACGAATATCGTAATTGAAATATTCTAATTTCGAATTTTGTAAGTCGCAAATTTTTTAAGTTGCAAATAAAAATTTTCTCTAATTAATTCGTTTTTATTAAATTCGTTATGATCGTTTGTAGTATTATCGATTGTTATTTCAATTTCTCGCCTGAAGTACCGTTTCCTGTCCGATTGGAATCTTTTGAATTGCTGAAAAAATCTCCTAGTATTCAATTATTTAATATTGAGTAAATTATCACAAAAATTACTTTTGTTATATCAAACGAGGTGAAAATTAAATCGTTTATTTTTGATTATGATCATGATAATTCTCCAACAATAACAGCGGATAATTAATTCATCAATTATATTAATCTTATTCTCATTCTCAGGAATATATATCCTTGAGAAATTTTATCGAATATCAATTGGAAATTGGATTGCTAAATTGTTCGCAACTGTAACTTGTTAGAATTGTTACTTGTTGAGAATTGTAACATTTGTTAACTTGTATTTTCTTAATGTTCGCAATTTGATCCATCAGATGTTGAATGATACAATTTTTTTATTTGATTGATTAGGGCTCATCGCCACCCTTGCCATCCGTTCTTCTCACGTTTCACAATCGACGTCAATGCCCATTCAAGTCATTGTGAAAATTTCAAATTACCTTTTAATATGCTCATATTATTTTTCCTAACCCATCACGTCGCAAAAAGTGACCCATTTTCTTAATAAATACGTTTACATTTGTATCCGTCACATTATTTCCTCATACCTAGGTTGCAACAAATCGCACACCAAAAAATCCGATACACGAAGCCTTCCTAATCGTTTTTTTATTAAAATGTCCATGCTCCCATATTGTAGAGTGATGTAGCTCTAACATTCCGTCATTTTATGACTGATTAGACTAATCTCTCCAAATTTTTATTTTGCATATCCCTAACGATCTTCGTACGTCTAGGTGCATATTAAACAGTTGACGATCTCGCTACCGCAGCCTGCTTTTTTCTCACGAGTAAATGCAAATCATTTCTAGATATTACTGTATCATAATTTGATTTCTGCGTCAATCCTTAGGGGTAATGCAGGGGCATCTATGGCGTTCAGCTGTAACCTGTGAGCGGTACGCGTTCCCCTATTCGAACCCAGCTGTCCAGAAGTGTTAAGTGGTAGTTCTTAGTGAACATGCCGGAGTACCGACTTGGACGCTTGGATGCATGGTCAAATTTTTGAATAGATTCAATTTGAATCTGAAAAAAGTTGGGGGATTATAAGCTTAGAATGTGTCTTATGCACGTCTGAATAATATTGTGCAAGTTGTTTTCGTCACATTCTTAGCGACAATGACCAGGGGTCAAAAAAGGGACTTTTTTCGTTTGTTATATCGTGCATTATATAGGGGATTTTCATTTTTGCCGTTATTTTCGACGGGGCGACGGGACCTAAATTCAACGTATTTTTTGTGACCGTTTTTCGGTTGTTTTTTCTGTAGACTCGTGCCGTTTGGTGCCTTTGTAAGTTCGAATTGTGTCGGTAATATTTTGGAACTTTGTTATTTATGGTTGAATACCTGCTAATTATAAGCTGATTGTCGCCATTCGGGTGTCGGTCTTCGGAGATATATGAAATAATCCTGCTTATTTATACTTCACTGCATACAAAACTAACCAATATTTGGATTATGAACTGAACTGATAAATGATCTGAATGATTCAGTGTTATAATTTCAAAAATTAATCTGGTTACACATACAACGAACATGTTTGCTAACAGCAACTTTTGTCTGCACCTTACATACTTTCTACTTATTATATTCATCCTCAGGTAAAATATTTTTTATTCAGTTTCGAAATGATTAACTATGAAAAAATATAGGTAAACGTGCCAAAACTGTTTCTGAAGGAGCAATTTATAGGGGATAACTCTAGGAAGTGACAGAAAAAATTTCAGTTGATACCAGTTTTATACAATTATAAAACTGTCATGAAATAAAATTTTTACTTCATTTAATGGAGATATTTTTTCAAAATTTACTGTTTTTAACTTTCTCAGACTTTTTGCCATTAACGTTATTAGTTGAAAAACGAATAAATGAAGAGATTAGGAATATTTATGTATATATCACCTGGCTTATCATGAG